CATACCGTACAAGAGGGCGAATGCTTCGGAGATGCTGTTAATAATTATAAGCGGTGGGGTGGGTTTCAGTAACTGTTCCACCAGAGGCAGGCACACATAGATAAAGTCGCCATGTGGAATGGCAAGAACAGGCCAGAGTTTCCCTTCAGGAACAGTCAGAGAGTGCACGTTTGTTTTACAGATTCTGGAACAATTATCCCGATATTCCACAAAGTGTTTATTATCGTCTGTTAAACCAAGCTCACGCAGTATAGCTTTTAAAAGGTCTTCGTCCTCAGGAATGGTTGCGTAGCTTGACTTATTAAAACCCTTGGCTCTTTTCTCTACAGTAGGATAACGCCTGCAAGATACCAAAAAGAGAAGGAAATTTACACAAAAAAATAACCAAGTAAAAGCACCGATTGAACTGCTAATGCTGACCAATAAACCCTGGAACCGTGGCCCCATCAGATTTAGTTTTCCTTTGTTAATGGAGCTTCAGTTTGGTAAAGTTGGCCATGCACATTACAATCTGACTGTATAATCTCTAAACAACCAGCTTTATATTTATCAGAACTAGGAATGCACCGATATCGGTTTCCCGGTATCGAGTACCGATATTTTGCTTTCAGTATTATCGATACCGAGTACCGATACTGGTGCTTCCGCTGGCATGGAGCCAGCTTCCCGGACAATCTAATGCTCGAAAAGCTGGCTCTATGTTATCCGGCCGGCTTGATTGTGCATGGCCGGGAAACCGGCTTCCTGGTCAATCAGTAAGGAGCCAGCTGTTCGACTGGCTTGATGCTCATTGCCCGGGAAACTGGCTTCCCGGCCAATCAGTAACTGGCTAGCTGTTCGGCCGGCTGTATGCTGATTGCCTGGGAAGCCGGCTTCTCGGCCAATCAGCATGGAGCCGGCAGTTCGGCTGCCCGGCCAACCAGGTAATTACTTGCTGTCCAGCTTCCTGATCGCAGGGGAAGCCGGCTCCATGTTCCCCTACGGCACTGCCGATCAGAGGAAATCCTCCTCTGACCGGAAGTTCCGGTATCGGGGGAAGGTATCGGAGCATTTGGGCGAGTACTGGCCCAAATACTTGGTATCGGCACCGATACTAGTATCGATATCGGTGCATCCCTAATCAGAAATGCGGGGCCCATTTATACTGTAAATGTTCCGACCAGCTCTACATTGGTTAAATGCTGTGTGCATGGCATTCCTGCCACTAGATGGAGCTGAGGACCATAGGAAATAGTGTATGGCTGGGTGAAAGAGTTATAACTCATGGGAGCAGCCATCAAATTGGTATCCTGTCAGGGAGGCCCTTGCACTAGAGAGTTGTTGGCAGATTTAAAGAAGATTGCACAATTAGATTGTAACATGTATGACTAGCTTAGGACATGGTGACTACAATCCCATTATTAAATGACAGTGCCCTAACTGGACAGTGATTACAGTCTCTTTGCAAATAGAACTTGTTTTCATCCAGGGTCTAAAATAACCAAGATATACTCACCCGAACCTTGGACCCTCCTGGCTGCTAGATCGGTCCCAGCAGTCTCTTCTCCCCGTCCGCTCCGGCGAAGGAATGTCCCTTGTCATCCTCACATTCTATACACTGTATTGGACGTGAGCACCTGTATTGGACGTGACGTCACAGGTTCTTAGACCGCCAGAGTGCAGCGGGAGTGGAGTGGCTGGGACGGGTCTAGCAGCCATCCCGGTTCGGGTGAGTATATCTTTGTTATTTTAGACCCTGGAGGAGAACAAGCACTTAACCCTTGCAATGCAGAGGGTATCCCCACTGGAAGGGTTATGTATTCTCCTGCCTGGAATTATTCCTTAAGTATCTCCTGGTTCCTCGATCGGCTCCTGAATTGTACATTTATTAATAATTCCCGATTTAAAGGCTGCTGTTGACCTGAAACAGAGATGGAAAATGAATAGATACCCGGTTTTATTTCCTCTCACAGCCTGACATGAAATGCAGTGATCTCAGCAGTAAAGTTGAGTTTACTAATAATTAGGGAAATGATTTAAGTGCACATTAATGTGTAAAATATTAAATCACAGAATTACCTAGAGAATTTCACTGATCCGCATTCCCCTGATCTATAACTTAAGATCCACAGCCCCCGAACAGGCATGGTTATGGGCGAGGAATAGCCACAGCACACAAATCATGTAGGCCGTACTTGGAACACTGTAAAAACAAAAAAAGGTTATTTGCATTTTTCTAGAACAAAAAATGTCATTTAAGTTTGAATATGTCATTTAAATAGCTTTTTCCAATGCAACTTCTAGCAAACAGTGTGTGTGCTGACAGCATCCTAGCAACCAGTGACATCAAGGTCTTATTTTCGGGGTAGGTCTTATTTTGGGGGAAACAGGGTATTATACATACAGTGTATAATGTATTGCTGGGATTTGTATTCCCATGTATTCCCATGTAAGTTGACAACTTTTTCAATAATCGATTATAATCGATTATGTCGATTAGTTGTTGCAGCCCTAACTGCAAGTCAACAGCACTCTTGCAACCAATGATGCTGTGGGCTGATAACATCCTAGCAACCATTAACACTGTGGGCTGACAATGTCCTAGCAACCAGTGACACTGCGGGCTGATAGTGTCCTAGCAACCAAGTGGCATTGTTGGCCAACAGCACACTGGCAACCAGTGATGCTGTGGGCTGCCAACGTCCTAGCAACCAGTGACGCTGCAAGCTGGCAGTGTCCTAGAAAACAATGAGGCTGCTGGCTGACAGCGTCCTAGCAACCAGTGACACTGAGGGCTAACTGCATCCTAAAAACCAAGTGACACTGTTGGCTGACAGCATCCTAGCAACCAGTGATGCTGCTGGCTGACAGCTTCCTAGCAACCAGTGACACTGAGGGCTAATGGCATCCTAGAAATCAAGTGACACTGTTGGCTGACAGCACACTAGCAACCAGTTAGGCTGAAGGCTGACACCATCCTATTGTCCGGTGATGGTGGGGCATGGTTTTGCCGACACAGCACTGCTTACTCCAAAATTACATTGTAGTTTATTACCGCCAGTTTTTTTTTTTACTCCAAAATGGTGGTCATTTTTAATGGATATGTCATAGCCATAGTGAACTTCTTCGCAAAAGATTGGGAGTAGATACAAAACGTTGACGGTCAGCGTAGTAAGGTAACCGTTCCTCTCTCTCGATATCGTGCCCCCAGCAGCTAATATCTGACTTTTCGATATAGTGAACTATTAGAAAAGTAGTAATTAGAACTTTGTAAATTTGTTACACGTGTCGGTATTTACTATGAAACTGTTGCAAACCTTTTATGAATTTGGTGCAAGAGTTCTAGATACAGTCATAACGCCAGAATTGTGTTGCAAAGCCTTTATTGAATTACTGTGCTATGATCGGATAACGCTGTTAATGCACAACACAGTAATATGAAGCCGCCCTGTCACCAGCTGGACATGGCCTCCCTGGCTACTCATATTATATTGTGGAAGATAAACAACTCACAAGTCATGCCTTGACAATGAAACCATGGGAAGGCTGAGGCAGTGTAACGGCCCATTCACAATTAAAAGACAACTATGGGGTCAGTGTTTTTCCCCATAGTTCTCTTAAGGGTCACAGGAGGCCATATACTAGCGTCCTCCCGTGACCCAAAGCTCAGTATATAGCTAGCTACAGCTTGCGATATAATGAGACCGCCGCAGCCGGGACGGATCCTGAAAATGCTGTTGAGATCCACCCAGTACCAGCACTCAGTAAATATCTTTGATGTCCATTTAATCGGACCAATCGTCAATTGTCATGTACAAAATAGCGACGTTTCGGTCCCGAAACGTCGCTAGACAATTGGTCCGATTAAATGGACATCAAAGATATTTACGGAGTGCTGGTGATTTCTGCTTTCCACTGTTTGTTGAACGGTGCCATCCGTGATTGTCACTAAACTTTCTTTTTTTTTAACACATAACTTTATTGCTATCACATATACAGTGACAGGTCCTCTTTATAGAGACATCAGGAGTCTATTAGAAACCTAATGTCAACTAGGGGCCACAAAGAAGCTGATGAAGCAGATAACTGCTTCATTAGCTTCCTCTCTGGCTACAGCACCCGGAGAAATGACAGGCTGAACGTGCGAGTCGGAGAGGACATTTATAAGCGCTTACCCGCCCTTTAAGCGTCTGCCGTCCAGCCATTTTTTTTACAATTAGCCGGACGGCAAGCAGTTAGGTGATGCTATGTGAATGCGAAACATGTAACACACATAAAATGGGAGGTGTTATTCCAATTTGGCAGCAAAAGTGGAAATACACTTTAAGGCCTGGTTCACACCTGAGTGTTTTAGATATGCGCGGAAACGCACAAAAAGACAATGCATGCTATTGGGGCTCGGTTCATACGCGCAGACAAAGACGCAAAAAAAGTACATGTGCGACTTTCTGGGCGGTTGTTGCACCTTCAGATTGTAGTCGTACCCGCAAACACGCAAACGCTCGTCTATTAAAATGTGCGCGTATAGACGCGTGAAAAAACGCACTGAATTGTAAATGCTCAGGTATGAATGGAGCTAAGAGTCTATTTATTAATGTTGTCACCCAAAATTTACACATGTTCCTAATGGAATCTCATGTAAACAAAATGGGTGAATCCTGCAGGAAAAACACGGACCCCTTAAAGTTCCTGAAAAGGACACAGTGCCAGACTCATGTAACCCCTGGAAGTAGCGTTTTCAGGGCAGCAATGGCAGCCTATGTATGTCTCTCCCCGGGTGACAAACAGCAGACCTGCATATGCTGGAGAACTACAAGTACAAGCATGCCTGTTCCTCCTGAGCAGGAGTGCCGCAGGTTGCCCATAGCAACGAGAGGGCTCGTCTCTGGGAGCCGGCAGCGGACTGGTTGCTATGGAAACAGCAAACGTTTAATAAAATCCCCCGTAACATAACACTGCTCGCCGCCTCTTACTGTGTACGTACCCGGCCACGCCCTTTCGTGCTGTGCAGAGCTGGATCCCCACTTCCGGTCTCGGAGGGTCAGAGGTCAGCAGCTGTGTGCGCGCCGCTTCCTGTCCCTGTCAGCTTCACTTCCGGTGAGAATGGCAGCAGTGTGATCCCCGCCCGAGCAGTCTATGGGGCCCGGTGCAGCGCGGAGGGCCTGACACTGATATCTGTGTGTCTGCAGCCATGGCCGCCACCGCCGACCTGTTCGAGGTGAGTGTGATAGTGGGGGGTGGTGGGGCTGTACACAGACTCAGTGTGACAGGGGCCCCAGGAGGACAAATGGTCCCTGACAGCAGACACAGTGACACTTTATACGGCAGGATATGTGCTGCTTGTGTAGATTGGCAGTGACTGTGTACATGAGAGGGGCCATTTCCGCATTTAGATAGAGGCCTTGTCTTGGTAGCACTGTGCAGGCTGTTGCTGCTGACTTGTTTTTAAATGTGCAGGCTGCATGTCTTTCCTTCTGATCCTTGACTGTGTTCTCCACCTGGCGAATGATTGGCCTGGAACAAGCATGTGATCCTGTGATAAAGGCTTTCCAGACTTCACACGTTGGATGTTTGTTTTAAGTCTTTAACGCTGTATCTAATACAGCATTTATAATATGTATCATACTATTATTGTTTATAATATGTATCATACTGTTTATGGTCCAAGTGGAGCTGCAGGATTATTCAAATTACCCCTGCTTTTGGGCTATGCCCACACTGCAAGAAATACTCACCCAATCCTTAGCACTGCCTGGCTGCAAGACCAGTCCCCACATCCTCTGCTCCCCTCGGGTCCGGCCCGTGACATCATCACGTCTATTAGATGGGAAGATGTCGAGGGACATTCCACCGTCAGAGTGGAGGACCGAGGATCGGTTAAGTATTATTTATTTTCGCCCCTTAGAGAACAACTAGCAGTTAACCCTTTCAGTGTGGTAGGGATGCGACGATACAGAGTATTTGGGTGAGTTCTTGTACTTGCCCAAATGCTCCCAATACTGGAACTTCCAGAATCAGGAAGCCGGGCGGCGAGTCATTACAGGCTGCCCGGCTTCCCGATTTGGCTGGTAAGCCGGCTCCATCCTCCCTTGTCACCAGGGAGCATGGAGCTAGCTTCCCAGCCAATCAGGAAGGTGGGGGGCGGGTAATGACTCGCTGAGCCAGCTTCCCGGCCAATCAGGACAGCCGGGCGGTGAGTCATTACCCATCCCCCGGCTTGCTGATTGGCCAGAAAGCCGGCTCCATGCTTGTAACTTGAAGCATGGAGCTGGCTTCCCGGCCAATCAGGAAGCAGGGAGATGTGTAATGACCTGCCGCCCAGCTTCCTGATTGGAAGCCAGGCGGCAAGTCATTACCTGCCCCCAGGCTTCCTGATTGACAGGAAAGCCGGCTCCATGCTTCCTTGTCACTCGGTGACAAGGAAGCATGGAGCAGGCTAATCAGGAAGCTGTGGGGTAGTCACACTGCCGGCTTCCTTAATAGGACTTCTGTTATCGGTATTCGGTATTGACTAGTACGGGAAAAAAATATCAGTACTTGTACTTGATACTGAAAAAACGGTATTGGTGCATCCCTACAGTGCAGAGAAGCCCCAATGGAAGGTTGAAGAAGAACTCCAGGACTTTTTTAAATTAACCCTTGCAGTGGGGCTACTCCCACACTGCAAGGGTTAAGTGTTTGTGTCTAGGTGCTAAAATAACAAAGATATACTCACCCAATGTTCAGAGCCAGCCAGTTGTTAACGACACTCCCTCAAGCCTGTCTCCCCCCTCCTTTGCATCACATTGTAATGTTCCTCTGTGTCCCCAACGTCCATACTCGGTGTATAGACGTGATGATTTACTGGACCTTAGACCGCAGCAGAGGAGGGGGAGAGACGCTCTGGGGACTGGTCTAAGAAGAAGCCCCATCAGAGCTTTGGGTGAGTATAACCTAGACACAAACAAGAGGTTACCCTTTGCAGTCCAATACTTCCCTCCGATACCGGAATTTCTGGTCAGAGGTAGATCTTCCTTTCCAAGCCAGGCTGCCTAGGAACAAGTGGAGCTTGCTTATTTGCCAATCAGGGAGGCGGGTCCTGACATACCGTCAGGCTTTCACTTCTTGCTAGGCAGCCTGGCTTCCTGACCAATCAGGAGGCCGGATGGCACCTCATGACCCGCTGCCTGGCTTCCTGATTGGTCAGGCAGCCTCAGGAAGGGAAATGTATCTTTCTATCAAAAGAACACCTGGCTTCCCAGGCAATCAGGAAGCCGAGCGACAGGTCACGATCCGCCGCCCAACCTTCTGGTAATCGGGGGCACACTGCACCAGTATCGGTACTGGATGCTGAAGAACCGGTACCGGTGCATCCCTAGTCACCATGACTCATGTTTTGCTATGTGTTACATCCAGAGGTGTTGCTGTACCTACAGTATAACAGCCTATATGGCTAATGTGGTGACACGACTGCTAGCTATATTGTAATTCTTAGTATGTGTCCAGTACTGATCCTTTGGGAACTCTTGAAAAAATGTTGGAATAAATGTTCTGATCTAAAGCTCGCGGTATGACGAATGTCTGAATGACAGAGTCACTATCTTTGCATCGGTGCTCAGTGTAGAATTCCAAAAAGCACCTGTATGTCAGACTTCATACATTCCTAAGATTCAATATATTTGTATCCTATAGTCATTAACACATTCTGTAAAAACACATTATTTCACTATTCTTTGTAATCAGGATCATCAAGAGTTGAAGCCATAACCCATAACCAACCATCAATAACACACATGAATATAATCACAGATTGGTTTACCATAAATGCCGGTACTTCCAGTGCGATGAGGATGGTTTGAAGTGTTTTACAAGACACCCTTTCAGGTTACTTCATCAGGAAACCCTCAGGATAGTTTAAGATAATATGTTAAAGGAGAACTATGAGGTGAGTGTTTTTCACTCACCTCATAGTTCTAGCCGACCTGTGACAATGAGACTGTCACAGGTCGGCTCAGTAGCTCGGGAAGTGAGCGAACACATACCGGCGTTCGCTCACCTCTCGATCCTGTCACAGCTCTCTGCCGTGACAGGGGAGGGGCTGGATTCCCCCCTCCCTCTCTGATCTGCCAGCGCTGACTGGCTGAACGGACGGGGGAGGGGGCGGTTACAGCTGGCTCTAGATAGGCAGAGCCAGCTGTCACTCACGCAGCTGGGCGGATCCAGACATAATTGTCGGGATCCGCTTCAGCTGCGGCGTCTCCAGTGTACCGCAAGCAGTAGCTCGCAGTATACTGAGCTTAGGGTGATGGGAGGACGCTAGTTTGTGTCCTCCCGTTACCCTAAGGAGCACTATGGGGAAAAGCCTTAACCCCATAGTTCTCCTTTTAAAAGTTAATCTTAAAGCGCCCAAGATTTTACTCATGCTGTTGCCGAGGCCTATCGTGGAACCCTATTGGAGCACTGTGGGAGATGCTTGTAACTAGTTCACTGACCGCTCAGAAAGTGAAGCACTGTAAGCTCTGCTATGTTCCCAGGACAGGCAAGCCATTCTTTTCATCCCATGTTGCTGCCTTAGTATGCTGACGTCAATAGCCAGAACTTTATGCATGCCGTCCGGCCGTTATCAATCCATCGTGCGGTACTCTGTTAGCAGCAGCTTCTGGGGATTTTACCTGCATATCCCTTTATATGTGTTCTTTAAGGCCCAGGTTGGCCAAGAACGCAAAGGTGCTTTTAGGGCCTGTTCACACGACGTCCGTTTTGTGTGCTGACCGGATCCGTACGCTGCTGCACTCAAAATGTATCCCTATGTGTTTTATGGGCTACAGTTCTCTCGTGCGCAGTCCGTTCAGCTTACGACAGAAAAAATACTGCATGTCACATTTTGTCCGGTCCGGAAACGGAACGGAAACGCAACGCAATGCAGCTAAGGAAAAAGTGACCTCAGAGGCTGAATCTGCATACTGACAGCCCCTTGGCTAAAAATAAAATAAAAAATGAACTGTCAGCATCCGGATCAAAAACGCACTGCATCAGCAGCTCCACGTCTGCTGATCAGCACCTGATCAGGACCTGATCTCATGTGAGCAGGCCCTTAAATGCAAATTTCTACACTTCCTATCCTTATGAGGTCTGGCCCGCACCCTTCTTTTGGCCAGTCACAGTGATGCACAGCCTTACTGGCCAACAGGTTGTTGCAGTGTGTGTGGGAACCAGCTGTCTACTTTACTGGAGATGAATTTACATCTGAAAGTACAAAAGCTTTGTAGTTCAGAGCCCGAGGGACATTTATTGCATCTGCAGATACCTGAGAGGGCTTGCATTTTTGTGGCACTTTGCATAGTTGTGTGCCATACCAGGTGTACTTATATTGTTCATATATCTCCTATCTCGGATGACTTCTGAAGAGGATTGTGTACATGCACATCTACACAGAGTCAGGGCTTGTTCACACCAAATGCAGACCAGATCTGCATGTGTTTCTGCACACGCAGTGCAGTGTGTTTATACTGCGGTTTTTGTGCTGCGTTTTTGATGCGTTCCGGGCCGTTTTTTTTAGTTAAGAATGGTCTTTCAATGCGTTCCAGGGTGTTTGCATGCATTTTTTATGCGTTTGCATGCGTTCCAGAGCAGGTAATATAGGGCTTCCTGCAGTTTTTTTACGTGCTCCTGGAACTGAACGCTGCGGTGTGAACAAGAGCCCAAAATACCATTGGAATACATTGGACGCAGTTTTGAGCCGGTCTGTAACTGCTCTGCTCTGCTCCTGGAACATGCTTGGTGTGAACTAGCCCTTAAGGTTTCTGTGGATTTATTGGTTTGTCTAAAACGATAAAACGGTGCCCCAGCAGCAGCAGCATAACATTTTAAATGAGCAGCTCACTTTGCAATGCTCATCTTCAGACCAGCGCTGTCCCTTTTAGTTTTTCCTTTTTGCCACAAGGCATTCACTCTTAGGAACGGATTGCCACCGTGACAGTGTCATACTGAAGATGTACTGTGAGTGCAGGGTGTCATAAAACTGCCCTGTGAGGGGATGATACCATGGCACCCTTTGTTCACAATGTAATGATGTAGAGAGGGCCACTGATGTGATGAGGCTCTCTGCATTATCCGAGGACCGTCCAATGCTGGGAAATGACCGACGTGGAGGCAGTATGCCAAGTGCCCAGGCTGGAGACTTCTGAAAAAGGTCAATATACAGTATATAAGAAAGAAAAGCAAGACATACTGGGGGAGAGGGTGTGATTAGGGGGTGGATATGGTCTAAGCTCGGAGTTTTAACATACACTGTTCATATTACAAAATACTTGTCAGCTTAGAATATGAGAGCTGTCAATGCTAACCAGGTTTTTAAAGGTTAATATTCCTGGGCTGTCATGCTGATTCATGCTTGCTTCAAAACCAAGTCAGCAGTGGTAGCTACGATATTTCTAACAATTTAACAATTATTTTAATCGGATGAAAAAAAAAGAAGCAAAAACCAAACACGTTCTTTCTGTTTGTGCATGCTAGGACATGCTACCTATTCGGTCACAGAATGACAATGAAGTGACTTCCTGCGTTTGTGTTTTTAGGAGCCGTTTGTCGCTGATGAATATATTGAGCGACTGGCATGGCGTACACCAGGAGGAGGATCCAGAGGAGGAGCAGAGCCCTTCGATCCAAAAAGGTGGGCATTTTATGGTGTGGAGGGCACTTTCTGTACAGCAATGAACTTTAAGGGCCCATTCACACCACATCCAGATCGTTTCCAGACCCAAAATGCATCCTAATGAATCCCTCAGCTATTTCCAGACCAGAAAAATACTGCCGGTCTCATTTTGTCTGGTCTGGAGTGCACTGGAACTGCGGGCAGGTTCACACCATTTTCCAGACCAGAAGATGGTGTGAAACTGCCCTTAGGGCTTGTTCACACGATGTCCGGATTCTGTCCGGACCAGAACCGTGCGCTCCTGCATCCCAATGTCTCCCTATGTGTGTTATGGGCTACAGTTCTAACCAGCGCAGTCCGTTCTGGACAGAAAAAATACTGCATGTCACATTTTCTCTGGTCCGGAAACGGACGAACGCGTCAAAAACGCACTGCACGCATAGCATCGCATCTGCAGATCTGGACCAGAAAATGGTGTGAACAAGCCCTAAGGAACTGAATATTTGAAACGCTACTTGAATTGGATTTATCAAGCTTTCCACGTTTAGCTATTGTAAGCTACAGAATTAAAAAGCAAACGTCAGACAAAGAAGCCAGGGCTTTGAAACAAATCCCATTAGGATGTACATGCACAAGGCAGATCCGTAGCTTAGACTCCCCAGATGAATGAAGTTTCAACCCTGGTCCTGCCAAAGTTAGGGGAATGCCAAATTCTGACTTGAGGTTCTCCTTTTTTTTTTTTTTTTTCCTCTCCCAGGTGTACATGTTTTGGAAGGTGAAGGGAGCCAGTAAAGACTATGGGGGGGTTTATCAAAACTGGAGCAGACAAAATGTGGAGCAGCTGTGCACTGCAACCAATCAAATTATCTCTTCAGTTTGTTCAGTTAAGATTTGAAAATGAAAGAGAGAAGCTGATTGGTTGTCATGCACAGCTGCTCCAGGTTTTGTCTGCTCCAGTTTTGATAAATTCCCTTCAATGTCTTTATTATTTCAATGCTGTGCCTATAGATATTACACGTTGGATGGATGAGCACATAAAATGATTCTTGTAAAGAGATGCTGTCACCCATTACTCTGTGTTCTCATTGCAGATTTTCCCTCCGCTGTCTTCTGAAACCATTGTCACCTTGACAGCAAGTGAGAGGAAATATTTCTTTTTGGAGTCCCAGATATCAGTACAACACCCAACAGAGGTTTTAATCCTTCACCACTGTAAACAAAACTTAAAAAAAAAAAATAGCTGGCACCTTAAAATGTAAATCTGACGTTGACTTGTTTTTTTGTGTTGGGAGGGATACAGTAGCAAACATTTAGACATGTGTAATGGTGTGTGCCCCCATACCTGCAGCTCAGTGGCTATTTATTTAAACTCTTTAAAATATGTACACCTAATTCTTTAACCTAATCCTGAAATGTAACTCTTAGCACTTAACCTCACCTAACCCTTAAAATGATCCTTTAATCCTGAAAATAAATAACAGTTAACCCCCTAAACCAGGGATGGCCAAACTCCGGCCCTCCAGCTGTGGTGAAACTACAAATCCCATGAAGCATCTCTCTCCAGGAGTCATGTCTGTGGCTGTGAGAATCTTGCAAAGCCTCTTGGGATTCGTAGTTCCACCACAGCTGGAGGGCCGCAGTTTGGCCATCCCTGCCCTAAACCTTACCCTTAACTTAATGACTCGAGTACCAACATTACCCATTGAAGAGCTGCGTTGACCGCTAAGTCCCCGTTCACACTGAGCGGTTTATCCCGCATATTTCCGCGCGATATCACTCTATGTAGTTAGTCCAATGCATTTCAATGGAGCTGTTCACATCTTACAGCTCAATCTCGCCTGTAGCTTGTCGCTTGTACATGACCCTGTTTTGTGCGGATGTTGCGCGATTTTGCGCACGATTGCTTCAGCCCAATACGAAAAGTTGCGTGACACGTTGCGCAATATCGTGCATATGACAATCGTGCGGAAAAAACGCACGAGATCCATGGCGCTCAGTGTGAATGGGGGCTAAGCTATCAGCATCAGATCCAGTTCCGAACACATCTAGAAACTGGAGCCGAAACTAACCATTCTGCCGATATTACCAATTGCATTCAAACTGGATCCCCCGCCCCCCCTTTACCACCATAGTAACGTTTTATTTTCAGATTGTCCCTGGTTTGAGACTTAAAGGTATGAGAGAGTATTCTAAAACACGGCGACTATGCATGTAAAGATTAGCAACCCAATTCTCATCAGGGTTCGTCTACAGGAGGTTAATATAGAATGTAGTCCTTGGAATTGAATTGAAAAATCAAGCTCTGCTTGTTTTCTTTGGAATACTCCCCTTTGTGCTGTGCTTTTTTCTCCCCCCTAATCATAAAGAGCAAGTTGTGCTGATTGTTACTACACTTTTACAGATTATTGGACCAATTTGTGAACCACATCGAAGAGCTAAAGTTAATGGATGAGCGAATTCAGAGGAAGGTAGAGAAATTAGAGAATCAGTGCCAGAAAGAAGCTAAAGAATTTGCCAAAAAAGTACAGGAACTACAGAAAAGCAATCAGGTAATCAGGAAATCTTCTCTTTCCCAAGGTTAAAACTGGAAAAATTGTGCTCATGTCCTTTTATGGTACAGCGGGCTGAAAGGCCATTCAATAAATTAGGGCTTGGGAAGCACAGTACGGCCTTTTGTTTGTCATTTCTATTATTGGTCTCATTTAAAAATCAAATGTTTATATCTCACCTAAAGGATAACTAAACCCAAAAACAAAAATGAAATATTTTGCAGCTTAAAGGAGCATACCGTCGCTCAGTCACTTCCCGATCTTCTCCCTTCAGATAGCGGTGACTGCGGCGCCATGGTTGGTTTAAACCCACAGGTAATACAAGCGGTCGGGCGTCTCTAGATAGATGGCTTAAATGTAAAGCTCCCGGCCGGCCTTTTAATTACAACGAGCGGGAAGCTACTCATCCAGCTCCAGCGTCCTCTAGAGGACGAGTGGATTTTTCAAGCCCTGCACATGGCGCTTGTGCTCAATAGCTTCCGCCCAGGAATGATGGCTGCCAGTGACAAGATTCGCAGATGGCAGCTGAATGTAAATACAGCAGGTAGTGGGCTGGTGCAATAGCCAGCCTGCTATTGGCCATTTCAAATCACAATAGCAGGCAGGCTATTGCACCAGCCCACTGCTTGCTGTGCCCTCCTCCCAGCATGGAGGAGAGAACTAGGGAATCCAACTCGTAATCGATTTAGTTGGTTGCAGCCCTAGTGCCGAGGCTGCCTAACTCGGTCTCCATAGATTATCACTGCCTGTGCTAGTAATAGGAAAACTAACAGCCCTGGTATCCCTTTTACATGCACATGTATCCGAGAACATCTTATCAAATACAGGACACCTGTTGCGGGGGATGCTTTTGGTTTTATATCAAGTCCTGTGCAGATATCTGGGAGAAGTAGTAAGTCATTGCAGGAAATGGGAAATCTGAGGCGGTTATGTACCAGACAACATACAGGATGTTCATAGATTGCTATAGCTGCCTGGAAGTAATTATTTGTATGTTTTAAGATCATCATCTAGATGAAAATAAAAGGTTCTTTCTTCTATTGTTAAATTACAAAAATGGAGTCCATAGCCGTGAAAGCCTGACTCCAGACCTTATTTTGCATAGAGTGGGGAAGATTCATCATTCCTGTCCGGTTTTTGTTTGTCTCTGACCTCACTGCATTTGTAAGGAAAGTGAACACCTTCTGTTTTAAAATGGCCATTCTGTGATTTGAAATGTTTTCCAGTGGCACATACATGTGTGTGCAGTCAGTATTTTTTGTATTGAATCAGTCTGATGTTATATCCGTGTTTTTGCAAATGTTATATTGTGCGTGTGTTTTTTGTTTTTTTCATTTAAATGGTGAGGGATTTTTTCTGCTCTTGGTTTTTACATTTCTTTTGCAATATGTGCCATATTTTTTTCAATCTATTTTTCGAACACAGGCATTTTGTCTGTACTTGTGGAATAGAAGGACATGCTTATTCAAACTGGAAACAGTGTTTGCCTCTGGGTATGGGGGGCATGCTCCTATAATTTCCATTGGCGTGTTCCACCACTAATACACATTCTGCATTTTTGGAAACACTGAGTATTTCGAGTATGAAAGGCTATTGCCACCATTGTTACAAATCAGCTCACTGTAAATACGTGTTTTATGCTTCCCTATATTTAATCCAAAAACAATAGGTAATTCATTTGCATTGATTATAATTTACATTGATTACAATAATATGAGTGGATTTATATGTCAATATCTTTTATATTATACATTTTAAAGGAGAACTATGAGATGAGTGACTTCCACTCACCTCATAGTTCTAAGCCGACCTGTGACAATGAGACTGTCACAGGTCGGCTCAGTAGATCGGGAGGTGAGCGAACACATACCGGGTTCCCTCACCTCTCGATCCTGTCACGGCTCTCTGCCGTGACAGGGGGAGGGGCTGGATTCCCCTCTCCCCGCACCGATCTGCCAGCGCTGACTGGCAGAGCCAGCTGTCACTCACGCAGCTGGGCGGATCCCATCATCTACGTCGGGATCCGCTCCAGGTGCGGCGTCTCAGTATACCGCGAGCTGTAGCTCGCAGTATACTGAGCTTAAGGTAATGGGAGGATGCTAGTTTGTGTCCTCCCGTTACCCTAAGGAGAACTATGGGGAAAAACACTGACCCCATAGTTCTCCTTTTAAGTTCTATTATATACCGTGTTTCCCCGAAAATAAGACAGTGTCTTATATTTTTTTTTCCACGAAAAAGGACACTGGGTCTTATTTTCGGTGGATGTCTTATGTGTACCTGGCTGCAGCTGTCCGCTCTCAGGTTCTCCGCTCATGCGTGCGGGTGGGCGTGCATGCGGGCAGGAGGGAGCTGCGGCCGCTCTCAGCTCTAATGCCGTGCAGGGAGGCGTGCCTGGAGGGAGGGAGCTGGGGCCACTCTCTGCTCTAATGCCGTCCATGGAGCCAGAAAGGTGGGCGGGCGGGGGGCGTGCCTGGCGGGGGGAGGGCGCTGCGTCATTTTTAAGATTTTCTGCTTACTTCCTATTTGAGGAGTCAGAACAAGAAGGGAGGGTTGATTTCATTTCAAGCAGCTATGAAATGTATGTGTCTAGTACAGCATTGAGCTAGCTGTTCGGCCGGCTGCAGCCAATCAGCTCCAGCCAATCAGCACGGTCAATCAGGAAGCCGGGAGGCGGGTCATTACTCGCCACCCGGCTTCCTGATTGCCCAGGAAACCGGCTCCATGTTCCCCTACGACACTGCCGTTCAGAGGAAATTGTCCTCTGACTGGAAGTTCCAGTATCGGAGCATTTTGGCGTGTATGAAATACTCGGTATCGGCACCGATACTAATATCGGTGCATCCCTACAAATTAGCCATGTAATCATTAATACATCATTTTAAATGTGTTTCTAAATGCAAGCAATGTGAGAACCTTAAGTTGACCTTCCATCAGCCTCCTGCAGTCCCTGTACAGCAGGGCTGAAGTGTGAGAGGAAGAAGCAGTTCATGTGCTGACGAAGGAATATGCTTATATTGGAGAAAGCCGAGTGACAGATAAGCTCATCACTCTGCTGCTTCTCCTTTCCCTGTCCAGTCACAGGCTGAGGGCGAGTCCAGGATGACCCGGGCTCCGAGGAAGTAGGTTGAATGATGCTGTACATCACACTGAGGACACCTATTAGCAGAAAATAAGTACTATTGGGGAAATCTCTCAATTCAAATTAATTTATAAAGAAAAAGTTGTTTTTGTTGTTTTTTTTATTTTTTATTTGTTTTATTTTATGTTGCCATTTTTTACTTTAGTTCTGCTTTAAAATCTGACATGTCTGAGGTTTCCATCATTTCCCCCTCAATCCGAATGAAGTGTATGTGAGCTTTATATATACCAGACCTATCAGAAAGATATATGGTATCCTTGTAAGAAACGGGAGCATTATTCTGTTTGGCTGTGCACAGGTTTGGCAAACGTTTATCAGAAACACAAAATAGAATTAGGAAGAACAAGTGCAACCCAGATTTCCTGTGGAAGGAAGACCGGCTCCGACTCCACAGGAGCCCAACTCATAAAGTCTCGTCAGTTGAAGCCTTTCCCTGAATCCCCCAAGTGGGCATTTCTGGAAGACAGGTTACACATGGCCTACTGTACTCTGACCAGCTGGATCTGCTGTAAAGGGGTGAAGTGTGTGCAGGTGCTCATTGGAGTGGCTTCTGCACACAAGTGGATGCTTGTCACTTTCCAGTTCTGGCCTAATGGGCGCTCTCTTTTTACTGTGAAGTGCTGGATGTGAAGTGAAAGTTCCGTTATGATATGGAAAAGTATATTATTGCGTTCTGCCTACCTGTTTGTTGCAGTGCGCTGCTAAGATTTCTAAAGTCCCAGCATTTCCTCTCCTGTTATAACATCGGTATTGTGATAGGAATACATACTGGATTTGTTATTGATAATGCAATCAAAGCTTTCTTGACCGACCAATCAGGAAGCTGGGCGGCGAGTCATTGCCCGTCTCCCGGCTTCCTGATTGGCCAGAAAGCCAGCTCCATGCTCTCTGGTGACGAGGGAACATGGAGCCGGCTTTCTAGCTCATCAGGAAGCCGGGCAGCGTGTAATGACTCCTCGGTATCGGGAGCATTTGGGAGAGTAGTCAGTATAGGTACCAATACTAGGATTGGGAGGGTCCAGCTTGTGAAAGCTTACAATCTAGCTTACAATCTAATAATAATCTTTCTGGAAGACCAGGCGTGTGCATATTTGATCTATTTCCTGTACGTGTACAGTACTCAAATATGATGCTGTCTACAGTGCATAGATCAGTCACATCAGTCTTGATCACAATCTAATGTCCTTATCCCAGTTGTACACGTGGTGTGGGCAAATTGGGTCAAAACCCTTGTAAACATGGGGAAAGCACACAAACCTGTACGTGCGTAGCTGTTCACATGGGATTTACTCCCAGGACCCAGAGCTGCAAGCAAGAGTGACAACCATTGAGCTAACCTGCATGCATAGACTGGCGAGAGTTTGTGAGAGGCTGGTTTGAACCACTGGTGTGTTGGGATTGTGTAGTGTGGATGGGGGAATCCTGTTTGATTTGTAAACATCTCCTGGTGTACAGCCAGCTATAGCGCGCAATCACATTTGGCTTATCAGATTAGATTTATGAATGTTGATTGACTGCTATGAGTTTATGCAATTTGCTTTTATCCTTATGAAAAAGTCAATCCATCCGAGTACTACGATTTTGCTTGTAGGTGGATAATGTAATGGCCCCCTGGAGTTCTCTGATGTCTTTCAAGCCAATGTGTTTCAATGTCGCTGCTGCAGTGCTTTTAATGTAACACAATTGGCTATTGTATGTGGGTGGGTCCCTGTTAGTAATATGAAAAAGTTTAAAATTTAAAAGGGAAATAGAGCTTTTTGGTTGGATTAATCGGGAGACAAAAGGGTAAAAGGGAGAAACCTTGCTTCAAGTAGCTATAATATGCACAGACTTGGTGTCATCTTGTTATATGGCTACCAAACCTTGATCTCTGAGCCTCTGCTGCAGCCTCTCAGCTCTTGGCTTGCTACAAAGTTATAGGGGATGAGTTATAAATAATCAACCCAACACATGCTGGCTGAATTCTGTTCATTTTAGCATTCTCACCACTAGATGGAGCCGAGGAGTTTTTTTTGCTCCTCCGCTCCATCTACCGGCAAGAAAGCAGTGCGAACGGCACCAGCGTATGCCGGGGACGATGATTTTTAAAACACCCCATAGTGTCACAATCTGATCACAAAGGCAAATTAAACTGAGGAAATGCTTCCTCCTGCCTGCAGCAAACTGCTGACATCATCTTAGCCTAGGCAAAGTCACTTAACTGGAGCTCAAGGATGTATTTTGTTAATAATAAAGGGTAGAAAGTTTCTGAAAAATGATACTGTTGCTGTCTATTGTGACGTGTCAGGCATTAGTTCATGCAGACTTGTACTGTTAAAGTATAATTCAACTCTCAGCTTTTAGCAAGCAGTAGATATATGCAAAAACATAATTTAAAAAAAAAGTCACCAACAAGGTTAAAACTTACCTGTGTCTCCGCCGCGCGTTCCTGTCCGAAGATCTGAAGATTCTCGGCCAACCGCAAAGGATCATGGGGCGGGCGCATGCGCAGTAGAGATCTTCAGCCAGGAGGAGAGACAAAAGGTAAGTCAATGCAGGCAGCCCGGCAGCATGCACCCGCACAGACTCAGTGGGACACAGAAGACGCAGCAGTCAGCGCTGGATCAGGCACCGGTACCAGCGCTGGAGGGACTTCTGAAAAGAAGATGATCGGATCAAGAGGCATCATTTAAGGTAAGTCCTTACACCAGCATGGGGGGGGGGAATTAGACTTTAATGTCACTTTAAAGACGAGTCCACTTGAAGTCTGCCCACATCGGTTTTCAAACTCAAGTAAGAGTAAACTAAGTGAACTTTAACCCAGTTGCAGTGTTTTCTGGGTAACATTAGCAATTCCCTGATTGTTACTCTAATTGAGCCTCTCATTTATTTATTTTTTGCTTCACAGCAGTCGATAGCAGTCTGATGGCATTATCTATGTCTTTTCAGATCGCATTTCAGCATTTTCAAGAACTGGATGAGCACATCAGCTATGTGGCCACGAAGGTGTGTCATCTCGGCGACCAGTTGGAGGGGGTGAACACTCCGCGGCAGCGAGCTGTGGAGGCCCAAAAACTGATGACCTATTTTAATGAGTTTCTGGATGGCAATCTGCAGTCTGATGTGTTTAACAACTCTGAAAAGGTAAGGGCTGCCAGCAGGACGTGAAGTGATTGCAAGCGACAAGCAGCGTTGCCCTAATTGCTTTGCCTTGTGCTGGTCGCACTCGCAGCCGTTGAGAGACTGACTTGTTAAAGTTTAATTGTTCACAAGTGTGCGTTTACAATATTACCCCGCCGAGCGCTTACAGATTTATTTATGCTTCAAAATGCTGTTAACTTGTCTTTTTTATGTTAGATTTGCTGTCTAGCTGGTATGATGTTTAATTCAACAAGCCCATAGGACACATTAACTTTATAGAAGATTTGTGGCTTGTTGGCTCTGTGCGGGAAAACGGAAAGAGGCTTTGGTGATTTCTATTTCTGTTCACAAACTATGAAGGTTTAATAAATAAGAATTGCAATAATATAAATAAAGAACGCTTCTGTTTATTTCATGAAGTACAACTGGTAATAGGAAATCTTTAGTCCTTTTATATTTTTAGTTGCGTATGTGATGACTAGCCTAATGTAAGTCATCTTATATGTGTTAAAGTGAACCTGTGCTTCTAATAAATGAAATTAATTTTGACATAGTATAGTGGCTGCCTCCAGGAGGCTTCACCCCTAGTGCCTTTTCCTATAGAGCACCCAGGGTCCCTAGAATCTCGGGGTTCTCTGGTGGGCAAAATTACACGACATCCCCGTCTTACTGTTGGCCCATTACATTAATTGGTGGTCTCACTAATCAGTAGTGAGACCTGGAGGCGAGGGCTGGGCACTTAAACAGGGAACTTGTTCCCAGAGCACCCTGAAAAGAAAACGGACTGCAGTTAGCTGCTCTATTATAAATATATTGGTTTCTCTTGAGGCTAGGTTCACAACAAGGCGACTCGTGACCGTGCGCGATCCACACGGTTTTGGTGCACGGCAGTCGCCAAGGTGTGAACCGATCGCGATGTGGGTGCCATCATTTTCTAATGGCACCACAGTCCCGCCGGGTGGATCGTGCAGTTTCCCGCCGCAATTCCACCCGGGCAAGTGAACAAAGTCGTGCAATGTGATGTGATGACTTATCCGAATAAGGGACATTGTTATTTGAACGTACTTCTCCGAGTGCAGGTGATCTTCACTTTTCCCTGTTTGGTGTACACGGCGCCATCCGTGGTTATCAATACAAGCACCGTGATTTTGCCTGAGACACTGCAAGGAGTGCAGGGGGACTTACTGGTATACTACATTGATATCCACAGAGCCCACTGGACTACCACAATTAGTCCCTATCACTACCGTTCATAGACATGCACACAACAGATTCAGTTTTCTGATTGCAGATAAAAAGTGTGCTACCAATTTTTCTGTATTCTATTGGCAGATTAAAGAGGCCGCTGATATCATTCAAAAGTTGCATTTAATTGCTCAAGAGCTTCCATTTGATCGGTAAGTAGTTTTTATCTTTTGCTTTTCCAGCATTGTAGGCAAAATTTGACTTTGGGGTAGAGAAGCCTGACTGTTGTAGGTCTATGGTGGGTCATCAAGCAGTTGTCTGTTTTTAAAGGGAATATGTAGTGATCGTCTTTCTTTATTATGATCAGGACTAAGCAATGAAAGCAAAAGAATAGTTTTTCCATGTGCTATTGCATATGAATATTTTAGGGCCCATGTATAATGGATAACAGATATTGCAACCTCTCCACTAGACACAGCAGTGTTTCATCCTCAAAGCATCTTTAGGACACTGGTGTCCTACCGAGTGTTTTCTGCAACGTATTGCAGAGATCATTCTGTGATTGAAGGTAAGCCTGTCACATTACTTTGGCATATCATGTGAATGGGCCCCTTCTCCCGTCAATGGAGGTGGCTCCTGAAAGAATTCTGCTAGCTCTTGAGTTCCATGTTGATTTATCCACCCCTTGTTTACAGAGCTCAGTAGCTCAAGCTGACATAGCATGCAAGTAAGAACCCGTTAACACCGGGGCGGTTCGGCCGCACGGATCCGTCGACATGAACGATCCCTTCACTATTTTAGCCGCGCCGATCAGTGCGGTTTTCATACAGGTTTCAATGGAACCGTGCTGATCAGCGTGGTTTTGGGCATTTTTTATTGCGTTTCAGCGCTAAAACGCAATTAAAAACTCCCCAAACCTCCCTTGCGAGATCAGCGCGGTAACCACGCGCTGAGGAAAGAAGAGTTTATGCTGCTGGAGAGAGGCAGAGTTAAGTGACACTTTTCCTCCTCCCTGAATGGCAAAAGAAAAAGGACATTGGTAATAAAACGCATACATGTAGAGCAAGAAGATTGTGTAAGTAGAGTGAAAACAAACTTTGTTAAACGATAGTATTTTCTCCTGTAACATTCTACAATGTGTGTTTTGTATGTTTATTTCCTGTTTTAACAGTCAGCATGTCCTCCTCCTTTTCAGGTTTGCAGAAGTTAAGTCAAAAATAGCAAGTATGTTCTGTATTTCTAATTAGTGTGTGTGTTTAATGTGCTGTGGGTTCTATGCAGAGCCGGTGACAGGTCTGTCATTTTCCAGGTAAATACCATGATCTGGAGCACCAGTTAATCCAGGAGTTTACCGGTGCTCAGAGGAGAGGAGAGAGATCTCGTATGAGGGAAGTGGCCGCTGTGTTACTTCACTTTAAGGTACTCGGCTTAACAGAGGGTCTTTCATCTAGTTTGTTACAATATTACTGCTTTCATCAAAATCTTATGGAAATTTAAAATTGGCAGTGCTGCTGTAGTCACCAAGTGGTGCTATAAACCAGCCTTTCTCAACCATGGTGCCGTGGCACGCTAGTGTGCCTCCTGGCCTCCTCGGGGGTGCCTCAAAATTTTGTGGTAGCGGGACTATGATGTGAAGGGGGCTCCTGATGTGAAAGGGGGGTAGGGCTGCAACAACTAATCGATTAAATCGATTATGAGAATAGATGGCAACTATTCTCATTATCGATTTAGTTGGGTGGTGGGGGCATGGAAGGAGGGAGGGAGGGAGAGGGTGTGTTTTTGTTTTATGCAACCAATCAATGAATCGAAAAAATAAACTGGCAACTAATTGATTATGAAAATAATCGTTGGCTGCAGCACTAAACGGGGGGACTCTGATATGAAAGTGGGGGGGAAGGGGGGACCTTGATTTGAAAGGGGCACTTCAATGAGAAGGGAAAAAATCCACTTTTTGTGTGTTTTTGCATGGGGTCCCTCCCTGACGTTTTAGACGGGTGCCTCGAGATTTTGCATACTTTTAAAGGGTGCTATGACTAAGAAAAGGATGAGAGATTCTGATATTGCTTTAGGCATCTGTGCTCCAGTTGTTGTTTTTTTTTGTTTTTTGTTTTTTAAATCAGACTGTGGTGCCAATATTGGAACTTGGCTGTAGTATAAAATGAGCTTTTATCTTTTTTCAGGAGAACAATTTTTTTCCAAGCCTATGTAGGTGTGTCATGGCTATGATTTATATATTATTTCTTATGTTTATCCTATTCTTTCCTCTAGGGCTATTCTCACTGTGTTGATGTGTACATTAACCAATGTCAAGAGGTAAGGTGAAAACCTAAAGATAATACCGGAAGAATCCTATGTCATTACAGTTATCTTATGGACTGTCTATGTTATAGGGAGCGTACATGAGGAATGATATTTTTGAGGACTCTGCAATCCTGTGCCAGCGGGTGAACAAAGAAGTTGGAGATATATTCAGCAATCCCGAAATTATCCTCGCCAAACTGATACAAAACATTTTTGAAGGGAAAATTCAGGTATATCACACTGATGGTGAATATATCCAGGCTGGCATGTGGACTGTATTAAATGCTATACTCCCCACTCTGACAGCCCACATACGTACTACTTTTCTCCATGGAGGAAAGGATCCAGCTAGTCTGACAGTGGAGGGAATTGCAGAATATTTATTTACCTGTGGTGATAGGTGACTGCGGCTCTGAATTTATACAATTTGATATATTACAGATCTGTAGAAGGGATTTTTATATTAATGGACTTTACACATGTAAACAGTGTGTTGATTGCTCCTGTGATGTTTTTTTGAATAGCAACAGTAAATTGGAAAAAATGTTTCTGAGGATTTAGTCCTCAGACTCTGTATCTTAATAGGCAGAGGAGGAGCTAGCATACAGAGCAAGGTAGATGATGTGCCACTTACTTAAAGCAGTGGTCTTCATAACTGGGAATAGGGGATAAGTGCTTCAAAGCTCTCATCATCCCCTATGAACACATCAATACAGGAATGGATAGAGATGACGGGTTTAAAATTCCTGCAGCCACTCATTTACCTCTGCAGTCAAATTTACAACACCTGTTCCATGCCGTCATTGCCCACATTTTCTAAGCCCACTACTATGATGCTAATAGCAATGTGTGCTGGGGTAAGAGTGGGTGCCTTCTGTGACTATAATTGAATTGCTAGGACTTTGCCCCTTCAGATTTTGCCTGGCATTTGGCCTTAGCAGAGATGATGCATGTAGGTGTTGGTACCATTTAGCTGTTTTTTTTTTTTTCTTTACAAAGGCTGCTGCTGTTGTGAAGTGCAACTAAATAGCAGGAGTGATTAGATTACATAGACTGGTAAAAAAAAAAACTTTAGGGGAGCCACACACCCCCCTCTCCGGCTGACATGCCACTGATGGCAGCTATTCATCCAGAAAGATCACATATCGCTCCTCCCCACTGGGCACTGTCATCATGATTGGCTATGTTTCCGCTCTGATCCCCACTGCTCTCCCTCTCCTATATTGGCAGAGGCAGCTGGGATCGGAGGGGACACAGACCGCTGCAGCAAGTGCCCAGTGGGGAGGAGAGATCGGCTGTGATAATCTGTCCGGATGATGAGCCTTCCCTTGGGTGAACAAACACTGGAGTGATCAATACTGATCACTCCAATATTTTTAAATGACTGAGGAGATATTAATATCTTACTATGTCCCCAGCTATCTTACTATGTCCCCAGCTACCAATGAACAGGAAGTGTTATACATCGCTTCCTGTTCATTTATGAATGGAGACAGAGTAAAAACTTACTATCTTCTTAGTTTATGAATGGACAGGAGCAGCTCAGTATGAGCAGGCTGACCGTAAACACTGCAAGGGTTAACCACTCTGGCTGTGGTATGTCCTCCCTTGGCGTCCTCAAGTCTAATATGGGTAAATGGACTGATGTGATATCAGTGGGGTTTAGACCACAAGAGGCTGTGGGGACTAATCTAGCAGCCTGGCAGGATCGAGGATCATGTGATTATTCTTTGACCCCCTAGATAAAAAGCAGTTAACCCTTGCAGTGCGGGAGTACCCCCATTGCAAGTGTTAATTTTTTTTTTTTTACAGCCTTTGAGTTCTTCTTTAAGCACATTGTCAGTCTTGTAATCCCAGACAAATATAGTAATGTATGAAGCATTCACAATCGACCTTTCAAAATTTCCCGATATGGGTGCCTGGGGGCATTTAATTAATCCCGTACACATCTTTTACTTGTTAGAAAAATGTCCCTTTCCTGATTGACTTCATCGCTAGTTGTTTGTCTGGCAGCCTGATCAACCATGAGATTAGGAATAGCTTATTTACATTAAGATGAAAAGAAAACATAACCATTCATAATTTTGTTTACACATCGTGTGACTAATTCGACAGGACACAGATAACATGTTGTTTCTTGAAGTCGTCTGAGATTTTTTTTATTTTTCATTTCTCCAATATTACTCCAGAATTCCGTCAAAGAGCATCTGGAAGAATGTAGAAAATCGGATGCCGAACAGTATCTTAAGAATCTCTATGATCTGTACACAAGGTAAAAATCGATTTGTTTGGTAAATTTATCTGACTGCAGAATTAAAGGGGCGTGGACGGGAGGGGTTATGTATATCAAGGTAATGGCTGCAGGCACGGTACATCTGAAGTTGTTGTCTTGGAATATGTAATAATGTGGGTGGTGCTTGTATTGTTCAGTTGTTGCTCTGCCGTTCTCTGTTGTGAACGTACATCATGCAAATTCAAAGACAGTTTGCCAACTGCTCATGTTCAGCACTTTAGGAGCATTCAGGCCTAAGGGGGTCCCAGTTTCACCATGGTGTTCTGCACAGCACCCCAAAACTGCAGGGAATATAATCTCTTCCGATTTGGTGTGTTGCATTACAGGACAGACGAAAAAGCACAACTTGGTACAGTGATAATCTTGTCCTTTATGTGCATTCAGGACCTCACAGGAACCCTTTCTCAAGGGTACCAATGCACTGCTTTTTTGAAAAATTCTGCTTGCTGTATGGATGCACAGATACAGATACTAGTATCAGTATGGATGCCTAATATTTGGGCGTGTATTCGTACTCGCCCAAATGCTCCGATGCCTAGCCCGATACTTCCTGTATCGGGAAGCTGGGCAGCGCATCCTTACACGCTGCCCGGCTTCCTGATTGGCCGGGAAGCCGGGCAGCATGCAATGGTACGCTGCCCGGCTTCCTGATTGGTCAGGAAGCTGGCCAATCAGGAAGCCGGGCGCTGTGTAATGACTTCATGCTCCCTTGTCACCTCATTACATGGCGACTGGGTTCCTGATTGACCAGAAAGCCTGCTTCATGCTTATTTGTCACATAGTGACGAGAAGCATGGGGACGGCTTCCCTGCTAATCGGGAAGCCGTGTGGCGAGTCTTTACATGCCGCCCGGCTTCCTTAATGGGACTTCCGGTATCGTTTTCCGGTATCGGTGAGTACCGGAAAAAAAATATCGGTACTCGATACCGAAATACCGGTATCTGTGTATCCCTAGTTTGCTGCATCTGTTGCGTGTTACATTACAGTAAATGGTAACGCATTAAAAATTTACTAGAAACACAATATTCTTTTTAATTGGCACATGTTCAGTCATATGTCAATGATTTCACATGTTTTAAGGCCTTGTTCACACCAAATGCAGAGCAGATACGGTCTGGTTTCTGCACACGCAGTGCATTGGGTTGTGCCGCCTTTTTGATGCGTTTTTACCGCGTTTTTGATGCGTTTTTACCGCGTTTTTGATGCGTTCCGGGCCGATTTTGGTAAAAAAAATTTGTTTTTAAGTTTAACATGGGCTTTCAGGCACTTACATGCGTTTTTGATGCGTTCCAGAGCAGGTAAAATAGGGCTTGCCGCAGTTTTTTCACCTGCTCTGAATCTGCACGCTGCGGTGTGAACTGGAGCTCAAAATACCATAGGAATACATTGGACGCAGTTTTGATCCGGTCTGGATCTGCTCCGCTCTTGGTGTGAACAAGCCCTAAGGGGGAACATTTTGAAAAAAAGGATGCCCTTTTTTGTTCGGTTTCATGATTTAATAATGAAAGAGAGAAGCTGATTGGTTGCCATGCAGAGCTGTTCCAGATTTTGTCTGCACCAGTTTTGATAAATTCCCTTCAATGAGTATAATGAGTAAACTTATCACTTACACATGGAAAGAGACAGATGAGCAATTGATGTCACTCATCACATTAGCTTTTTTATTCTTCGAGATCATTGATGCCAATACCCAAATTTCGCCTTTTTTTTAGTATCCAATAACTCCCTGCCCAAAAACATTCAGACTGAGAGAGGAAGGGTAAGCATACTGAGCCAATCGGGGTTCTTTGCTTTGCACAGTGTTTTTAGTCTAACCTTATGAACTTGCTTACAGGAGGGTAGAGCACATACACGATCCCTGCTTCTTCAGTGCATATTTAGGTTTTGCCTGGAGTTCAGTTTTACCTCATTTCAGAAAGAAAACATAAAATATTAGTCTGATTTTAATTGTTTTGAGGCCTTTTATAAGGAAGGTCTAAGTATTCTGATTAGTTTTGTGTAGTAGCAAGGATTGTAAGTGATACCATTAGAGATTTAAGGGTCATGCTGTGATTTTAATTGAACTTTTTTAATTATGCACTTAGTCATTTTACTCAAGGCTGTTTCTGTTCCTATTTAGCATATGATTTTTTTCATTTTGCAGTGCTTTTTCTTTTTAAAGAGATCTGTCCAATCTTCTAGCAACCAGTATATGTGATAACACAGAGCATACCCCTTCCACATCATCTTTGTAAAATAGTAGGGCTTCTACCATTCTACTGTTATTGGCAATAGACTAAATTGAGACAGTTCAGATACCCCATCCCGGGAAGGTAGTATAACCTGCCTCTAGTGTGCTGTGCAGAACCCCAAGCAGAGTGCAGCACAATGGCGAGCCCTTGAAGATCGTTCAGATACCCTATCCCTGGAAGGTCATTTGCACTGCCCAGGATGCTGTGCAGAACCCCATACCGAGCGGAGCAAAACAAACCATGAAGCTCTCTATGACAAAGACGGCACAATTAAAGATATACTCAAAAAACAGAACACATTAAATCGTATCTAAACAAATATGGCCAACCATTAAGAATACCCGAGACTCTTTTCACAAAGTAACTTACTGCAAGAAATAATATATTAATGTAATAATCCCATATTAAATACAACAATAAAGATGTGTGCCTTTTTTGTTTTCAGAGGACTCTTTATGCTAGCATCCAAATATGATGCCTTGATAATTTTTTAATTGTGATGTTATACAGCTTACTTCTTTCCACTAATGGTTGGTGTTGGAGTTTAACATTTTTATTGCAGATCTATGTATTGCTGAAACCTATGGCTGTAGTAGTAAAAATCTCTAGTATGTTAACACCCTAAACAAAACCTTGTGCTGTAGTTTAAGGAAACTCCTCAGTATGTTAAAACACCAGGCCAAACCTATGGCTGTAGTAGGAAGGAATTCCTCTGGATGTTAACACACCAGGCAGAACCTTTTGACTGTAGTAGGAAGGAACACCTCAATATATAAACACATGAGGCAGAACCTATTACTGTAGTAGGAAGGAACTCCTCAGTATGTAAACATACCAGGCAGAACCTATGGCTGTAGTAGGGAGGAACTCCTCAATATGTAAACACACAAGGCAGAACCTATGGCTATAGTAGGAAGGAACTCAATATGTAAACAGGAACTCCTCAATATGTAAACATACCAGGCACAACCTATGGCTGTAGTAGGAAGGAACTCCTTAATATGTAAACACACCAGGCAGAACCTACAGCTGTTGTAGGAAGGAAATCCTCAGTATGTTAACACACCAGGCCGAGCCTATGGCAGTAATTTTCACTAAGTTAACACCGTGTGAAACCATGGACTGTAGTAAGAACTCCTCGACATGCTAGCACAGCAGGAGAAGCTCTCAAGTGTTTCATTGGATAATACTAAGTGTACCGTGGAGAGTCATGGAAAGTGTTTCATGTCTTTCTGTTTCTCTTGTTCTGCAGAACCACAAACCTCTCTAGCAAGTTAATGGAATTCAATTTGGGAACAGACAAACAAACCTTTTTATCCAAGTTAATCAAGTCCATTTTCATCTCATATTTGGAAAACTATATTGATGTAGAAATTGCTTACTTGCGAAGTCGAAGTTCAATGATCTTACAGCGTTATTACGACTCCAAGAACCATCAGAAAAGGTCCATTGGAACTGGAGGGTAGGTGATGGACATTCATTTGTAGTTACTTGATCACCATTTCATAATTATACAACAGCTTTGTTATGGTAGACTTGTTTATTGTTTTAAAGAAGGCATTTTTTACTACTCTACCCAAGAGGCAACATAAATCCATATTAGAAGCAAACTTAAATGTATGAAGAAAAGTAATATTTGACTTGTTCTATTGCTGTACTGTGACTACCACGTATTGTCTGCTGGACACAAAAATGTATAGAATTACCAGGTGATATAAATAACTGGATCACACTATTGTAACTCATTCTTTGTCATCTTGCACAACAGCATTCAAGACCTGAAAGAGAAAATTCGTCAGCGCGCAATTCTGTCTTTGGGACCAAGTATTGAAACACACGGCGAGACATTTTTAGCACAAGAGGTGGTGGTAAACCTATTGCAAGAAACCAAGCATGCCTTTGAAAGATGCCATAAGGTATGTTTTAACAAAACCTTAAAATGTAGCTAAACTCAAAAACCTAAATCTAATATATTACAGCTTACCTGTCATTAGGTGTGGTGACTACATTAGTTTTCTTTTTTAGGCGTTTTCATTTTTTTAACTTGGTGATCTGGTCTGTAACAAGCTTCCTGTCTTAAACTGGCCATACACCTATAGATTATCTGCAGATTTTCTATGGTCAGATGGAAAAAGTGCAACAGATTCCTCCATCTACGCTAAACTGTGTGGTTGGAGGAATCTCCCACTGGGCCAAGCTTCAGTCTCTTGCTAGTCGGCCCCGCTGGCTCTCAAAACGCCTGAACAATGCCTGCATCCAATCAGATTGTTGAGTTATTTTGACAGCCGGCAGGGCCGACTAGCAAGATACTGAAGCTTGGCCCAGTGGGAGATTCCTCCATCCACACAGTTTAGCGTAGATGGAGGAATCTGTTGCACTTTTTCCATCTGACCATAGAAAATGTGCAGATAATCTTTAGGTGTGTGGCTAATCTCACTCCTCCAGTGTATTTATGTAGCCATCCTTGGACAGCAATAGTTTTAGCCTGTGGAACAGGTAGTGTTAAATGGATTTTTATACAAATGAATAACAAATAAAGCCTAACCGCTGCTAACACTTTTTAATCGGTTGAAAACCACAAATGGAAAAAAGAAAAAACTTTTTCTAAGTAAATTAATAAAAGTTGACCATTGTAAGCAACCCTGTCAGTGTTAAAAGGTTTGTCTCAACCCACTTAAGTTGTCCATACTGGCTGGCTCAATGCCGCCCTCTTTATGGATTCAGCAAGTGTCGAGGGAGACAGAAGAACAAAGACAGCTGTGTTAATGCTATTGACAGACTGACGTGTCATTTTTTATTTGGTCCTTAGTTCCGCATGATAATGACATTTATATGTGATCGTCTAGTACTGTAAAGTGTGATTTATTTTTATTTATTTATTTTTTTTAATTACATTTTTTTTGCACACTTTTATTCTTCTTGCTCATCTTCCCTGACTTTAATAATCCCACCTTTGCCCTCCTCAGATCTTTTAATTACCGAGGGCCACAGCAAGTCGTCCTCTCATGACTGCTGGGAGATAGCCTCATAGAAGTCTGTGGGTCTGTAATGTGCAGGTGTGGCCAGCAGAGGGAGCATTGAGGTGCTGGGACATAAAAACAATAGAGGAACTATGTCCATCTGATCACGTTAAGTACAGATCTGCAGAGGGGATGGCGGAATCCTTAAGGTCAGGTTGGGAAACAAAAAGGATAAGCGCACTTATGCCTCAAAGCCTAAATCCAGGGGAAAAGGTTAATTTTGGATGGAGTGGGAAAAGGTTAGAGCCGTTGTCAGGTTTTTGTTGCCGTTTGTGTCTTTTACTGCAGCTATTTCACCTCATGTATTTCAGGTGCACAGACAATTGATGTATTAAGTAATGGATAATATATATTTCTTATTAAGCTTTCAGATCCATCTGATCTTCCAAAAAATGCCTTTAGAATATTTTCAATTCTTGTTGACTACTTATGCATTGAGCACATTGACTACGCCTTGGAAATAGGTTTGGCAGGTAAGATCTATTCTTTTCTTCTAGTTTGCAAAGACTTTCTAAATGTTAGTAGAGCATGTATGCAAAGCAAATCAACAAGTTCACTTCAGTGACACCCCCTTCCCCAGCTGCCCCATTCGGACACCAGAAGCTGGCTCTTAATGTTTGGCACTTAGTAATTGGTTACCTCTGGTTTTCGGGCTCCCAGTGCTTTCACATGAGGTTTCACTTAGAGGTTACAAAGCACTCTATCTCTTCACATCCAGGGTGACGGAAAGGGCAGGTTTTAAATCCCCAAATTTTTCACCCCAACACACCTTGCTTTTTTTTTTTTTTTTTAATCATGAATACTTACCATTTTTCCTGGGATCTTTTAGTCGGTCGCACAATGTCGTTGTTCACTTCTTGCTGAGGCGGTGGTGGGTGCTCAAAAATATTGATATGGCATCAGCGCCACCCTCTGCGGTACTGTACTGTGAGCCCAGGGTTGAATTGGTGATGTGTCCCCACGGGGTGTGTCCATGACAGCTACAGGTTACAGGAAGTGGGTTGAATGACACGGACTGCCATATAATCTGGAACAGTGGACAGAATTATATTTGAATCTTTTTGACCACAGTCAGGCTGTAAGAGTTTTATACATCAATACATTTGACCAAGTTTACATTAGATTTCACTTTCTGTCTGTAAGATTTGTTTAATTTTTTTTCCCCCCAGCAATACATTCTCCCGAATCAAAGAATGCCAACCTATATTTCTTTGATGTGGTTCATCAGGCCAACACCATTTTCCATTTGTTTGATAAACAATTCAATGATCATTTAATGCCGTTAATTAGGTAAGAGTTTTTTCCCGTTCTCTATGATTCTAAAATGGATTGTTATATCTGACAGTAATTCTGTAACTCTTCTGTCTCTACAGCTCCTCTCCAAAGCTTACCGAATGTCTGCAGAAGAAGAAGGAGATCATTGAGCATATGGAGGTGAAGCTAGACACAGGAATTGACAGGTTAGACTATTCCGTGCAGCATTTAGAGCAATGCTCCATAGACCGAGGATAATAAAATTGCTTTGACTAGATTGGTTACCTGTTCTCTCCGATCTATGGCCACCTTTCATTTTCTCTTGCAAGCACTATACTAATGGTGAACTGTCTGTACCTTAACCATGCAACACCATCTAAAAGCATTTTCTATGATGCTGCTCCTTTTGCACTTGGTTTTCCAAAAGTTTTCTATATGAAAGCTTACATATTTCCACTTTGCTTACAGGACACTAAATTGCATGGTTGGCCAGATGAAACAGATCTTGGCTGCTGAACAGAAAAAGACGGACTTCAAACCAGAGGATGAAAATAATGTATTAATACAATACACTTCTGTAAGTTATTGCAATTTTACTTTCATTTTATTAAAAAAATAAAAACCCATAAATACAGCTGATCAAAGAAAGAGTTGACAATACATGGTTGTAGTTATTGGAAAGTCTGGATAGTATGGTTATGATGCCATGAGCTGAATGAGAAGTGTGTGTGTGGTTGGGAGGGATAAAAGTTTACTTGTCCCTGATGTGTAGAGGTTGGTCCTCCCATAGTCTGATGACCATTTGTAACAGCCGAATAGACGCATACACCAACAGGTGCTCATGACACCTTTTCTACAACCTCAGGCTGTCCGTTTGGGAGTAGACCAGAATCAACTATAGCAGTCACCATCCCCTTCCACAAGTGATTTTCCCCACTTTAACTGAAACATAAGCATGTGTATCCGATGCCTCAAACCACAATCATCTGTAAGCAACGGTATGACTAACTCTCAGATGATTTCCAGTCTTCTAAACAGTAGGACTGCAACAGGAGGGGGTGATGACTCTGTTACTGTATGTTGCATCCAAACTGAACTGCATAATCTGTTGGGGCTTCTTACACCCCTTACATCGGGGGTTTTCCTGATGCTGATTTGTAATCAATGATTGCTTCAAGGTGCGGAGGTTAGAAAAATAGTATTCAGAAGATTAGCACAAATATTCACCGAGTTTGTATTTGACTGTAAAATCCACTTTCTTTCATTTTAAAAATGTAATCAGTCATTAGGTGAAATATACCTGTCAGCCAGAAGCTGCCATTGTGTGACCTGCAAGTTGTATACGAGTTTCAAGGTATCCACCTCATTCTGATGCTAAGCAGGTATTTTACTGCCCTGAAATAAGTATGCAGCTTGGGTGTCGGCCTCCATCAGGAAGGGTTTTAGCTTGATGAAAGATTAACCAAGTCTGCATACTCTATGCAGGCTTTGTGAGGGGATACTACTGTCCTCATTTCATGTTTAATATACTTTATATTATTAAGAATGTAGCAAGATTTTTGGAAATAAATCCGAGTATTGTAAATATCAACACCCCAGGGTGCGGGTGGTAGACCTTTCCACTGAAACTGACAATAAGATATCCGGTGCCAGTGGGTGATTGGCCCACCAGACTTCACCCACCTGGTAATAATACGCTTTGTGTTGTATCATAAGATGGATTATGATACCTGTTCACATTTGATTCAGCAGTCTCGTCCATTTGTTTTAGTCCGCTTGGGCTTTTTCTGTCAGTAGTGGTACATAGCCTTGATGGAAAGCATAATTTATCTTGACATTTGAGGGTTTGCTGTGGTCCTTTGCAGTACTGACCCCCAATGTTTCTTCTGCAATTCACTCAACAGTAGCAGCGCACCTGCAGGTAATTCCTACTTTCCTTCTTCTCATGGAAAAGAGAAAAGTACTGGATGGGTCACTTAGAGATTCTCCAGAACGTTGGAAATATATATGGTGCATTTATTGCCTACCTAGGTATTTATTTACATGCTGAGCCATTAGTCTGTCTTCCAAGACTATCATACAAAGTGGCTAAATAATGGATTTATACTGAAGACCACTACAAGATGCATGGACAATCACTATATGTAAATAATATTGCTTTATATTTATGAATATCATTACAGTGTATTCTGTTTGGCTTTCTGTTCTCAAAGCCCTTGCAATTTTTATTCTTAAATAGGCTTGTGCCAAAGTGTGCATTTATCTTCGGAAGCAAGTAGAGAAAATCCGCAGCTCAATGGATGGGAAGAATGTGGACTCAGTCTTGATGGAATTGGGTGTCCGCTTCCATCGCCTTATTTACGAACATCTCCAGCAATTCTCCTACAGCTCTATGGGAGGCATGCTCGCCATCTGCGATGTTGCAGAGTACAGGAAGTGCGCCAAGGAATTCAAGGTTTGCTCAAATTTCTATAGCGTAATATGGTACCGCCTTGGTGTGGATACTTGTATGAACTCAGAGTAGATGATATATTGTGCAGCTTGTCTATAGGGTGTGGTTATATAGGCCAGATAATAAAATTAATTTCATAGATCATATGCAATGTGCAGACAGCTTTTCTAATAGGTCTTATAGAGTAGGATAGCCAAGAACATTCATCTCTTCACTGTGAGCAGCATCAGATTTTACAATTGTAGCAAGAGATCAACTTTGGCAGAAATCAGAGGGTCTCATGTATGAAAGGGTCCAAAAGGTAATGTCCATTTTCCATACAACAGCCAATTTTCTCAGTTACTTTTGTGAAATTTAAACGTTAAATTGCTTTTTTTCTCACCATTTCATGGTTTATTATGGTATCTCTTATTCCAATGTGTGTTTTTTACTTTTTATGCATCATTTGGGTATCAAGCAGTGAAGTCAGCACCCTTGCAAAATATGTGCTAATCAAACCACTTTGAGCTTGTGTTGGTCTAGAATCACTAATAAGACATTCAATCAGAGCAAAAAAAAGAACAATTTGCTAAAAATGAAATGTCCGTATGAGTGGCAAACGGATGCGGCTACCACAGTGTGTGTGTGTGTGTGTGTGTGTATATGTATGTGTATATATTAACAAGGACACTCCACTGTAGTCCAGGTAAATAAAGTAAAAGGCAGTTTATTAAAGGACAAACACAAAATAGCTTGCAGCAGCAACATAAGACAGTCCTTTTATATGGCTCAGTAGTTTTCCTCATGAGCCCTCGCTCTGCTCTCTCAGCAGTGTGTCCCAGCGGTCCTAGGGTCACCGACCTTCCTGACCTCTCCTAGCCTTCCCTGGCTGTTCCCTATGTCCCACATGCACCTGAGTCTGCTGTGGCTTTGTGCTTCCTGCACCCACACAACTCCAACACTCCTCTCTGAACTCTGGCCCAGACTCCTAATAAGGCTGCTTTCAGCCACCTGATCCAGCAATACTGGTCATTGGTAACACCTGGACCCAGGACTGGAGATCTCATCCCACCCAGAGCTCTAAGATCTCCAGAGCTCCAGATCCCAGCTACATTTAAGATAACCTGGAAGGACCTTTAAAGCCAGGCGCTTCCTTATAACATTGTTTATATTCTGGACCCTCTCAGCCCCTTTGGCTGAGAGTCCTGGGTGCCAATGTTGCCATGCTATGCCGCGGCATTGCCATGCACTGCCACTATAATAAATTTAACTAGGATCACACTAATCCAGCACGTTATTGATCTCACGTGGGGCAACTCAGAATAATAACGTGCTGGATTAGTGTGATCCTAGTTCATTGTATGACTTCATTGCTGTGCTGTATGTGTATAGGCCAATGCCTTGGCTGGCGCTCGTGCAAAGTTTCAAAAAAAAATTTATCGATCAAAAAGATTTTGTCTATTTTGTCTGGTTCTCTAACTCTGTATGAAAGCAAAGACTATAGTCAACAGAGGTGCTAATGGTAAGTGTTATACGTGTATTTTCTAAGGCTATATTTCAATAAACTTTTGAAATATTGTTTTAGTGTCTCTTTAAGCTTACACAGTGATCTCAGATTACCTTTTTAGCCTTTTGCGCTCAAGTATGACAATAATGAGTGTCTTGCTATTTAGATTGGAATAAGAAGATGATTACCATAAATGGAGATCATGGTCATGCTACTAAGTAATAGTGTTGATTAATGAGCCCAGTAATGGGTCTGATAGTTTTGGTCTTCATATCTTCATGCCTAATAAAATATATAAAGTGACCCTGTCTACTTAAAATTAAATACAAATCAGATCAAAGTTTCCTGCAAGAAAAGATGTAGTACAGTTGATTCTGCAACCTCCATCAGTGCTTTCAGCATTCCGCACTTTCAGGAGTATTGGATGCCTGTGGTCTCTGCAGCGCCGTGGTTCCAGCCTCTTTCCTATACATGACTGCTGTGTCCTGTAGGGATTGGAGGACAGCACCATTACTCAGGACACGGGCATTTGACACTTCTGGAAGTGTCGAATGCCAAAAACATTGATGGAGGTAGGAGAGGTAAGTATGCTACTTCTTTTCTTGCAGGGAACTTTAATCTACAACTTTTTTTAAAAGCTGACATGGTTACTTAAAGATGATTTTTTTGGAGGATAGGAGTGTTTAATAGTAAAACATAATGAAAATGATTCTTCAGCTGCACCGGAGTATAGCTAAGTTCTAGGAAAAAATGTCTAATCATCCTGCTGGTGCAACAGAGCTCCCTATAAAACAACCATAGATAAGGAGATGATCTATTGTAGTATATAATAAAATATGTCTCTTGTATTTTAGATCAGGTCTGTGCATTTGTGTATTAACATAGACTCTCTTTCCTTTACCCTGCAGATTGCCCTGGTGCTGCAACTTTTTGACACTCTTCACTCCCTCTGCAACCTTTTAGTAGTGGCCCCTGATAATTTAAAGCAAATGTGTTCTGGCGAGCAGCTGGCCAGCCTGGACAAGAATATGCACCACTCCTTTGTGCAGCTTAGAGCAGACTACAGATCTTCACGCCTTGCTCGACACTTCAGCTGAAGAGCTAACTGCAAAACTGAGATTGTATTCAGGCCTATGCCAACGCGTGGCTAGAAAATAGCACAGGACCTTCTCCTTGTTATGTAAAGGTTGCTCGAAACTCCGCAGCTCAGTTACACTGGCTTTAGAACAATAGTGCAGCCATATTTAACTTGCTGCTGTGTCTGCCTCTTTCGGCAAAAGGGATTTTGCTTGGTTGTTTTATTTTGGGTTTTTTTTTTTTTGTTTTTGTTTTTCCCAAGAAGATACAAATTGGTAAAAGTTTATCTCACATAAAGGATTTCTATTGCAGTAATACAACTACTTGAGTAGTTGGAACATTTTGTCTTTTAAAGAGGGCAGTACTGCTTTTACGCAAGGGTTTTTGTGTATTGCGACACGCTTTGTTTGTTTCACATTATGGTAAGTGGTTTAAGGAATTCACTGCTGAGTGTAAACAATCTCATTCCTAGCTGGGCCTGGGATGGCTTTCCACTATTTTAGTTATGTTCATTTTCAAAATAACCTTTCATTGACTTCCACTGAGATTTAAAAGGTAGCTTGTTGCAAAGCCGATTTTCAGTCTTGGGTTGGCATCTGTGGGTAAAGCACCCTCCAGCTTCTTATACTTCTCAGCTTCCAGATTTTTTGCAACTTTTTTTGTCTCCGCTCGCTCCCACAAGGAGAGTGTGTAGGGCAGGGGCAACCAAACCCTCCAGCTGTGGTAATACTACCAATCCCATGAGGCATTGCAAGATTTCCACAGCCACAGGCGTGACACGCAGAGTCAGATGCATCATGGGATTTGTAGTTTCAGCACAGCTGGAGGGCCGACGTTTGGCTACCTCTGGTGTAGGGCGTCATAGTCTCAGCTGGTTTCTAGATTTTTGTTTTTATTCTCAAGCTTGAAAAATTTATTGCAGGAGTTTTAAACCTTCATTTAAGGTTGTAATGGTTGCGTGGACCTAAAAAGTGGGCTGGAACTATTTTGCCACAGAAGCCTATGAGAAGTATAATGAGCAGGCATGTGATTCACACAAGGCATACCACTTTGGGGTGGTTTTGGATTTTAAGGTCTCAGGTTTAACCACACATGTTTGTTAATACTGTAGATGTATACAGAAATCCACAATAATCAGTCAAATGCTGGCTTTCAGAGCTGTAGACTAGCTAGTGCTAAAGTGTGTTTCCAGACAATTTGCTAAATATTCATTTGAAAGATATATTTATAAACTGATTCCCTGCTCAAGTATTTGTAACCCTGTTCAGCCAATCTTGTGATTCATACAACTTCCAATCTTGTGATTCACACACCTTGCCTCACTGCATACCTAGGAAGTTGGCTCCCTATTTGCTGCTTCAGATGTGCAGCTTCCTGTGTCACCTGCCTGCTCATTGGATGGTGAATTAGAAGTGTTATGATGATGCTTAATATCCATCTAAATGTATCTAATCCCAGAACCAAAATCTATAATATTGCAGCTAGCCTGTTCTTAAAGGAGAACTCGAGAGAATTTTTTATTAGCCCTTGCAGTGGGGCGGGCTACCCCTGCACTGCAAGGGTTAAGTGCTTGTTTGCATCTAGGGGCTAAAACTAAACCAAAAAGTTATACTCACCAGGCCAGCCGACTTGTTCTTAGACTGGTGCCTCGAGCGCCTCTCGCCCTCTGCTGCAGTGATCTAAGTATCCCGGTGTCATCACGCTCTATACATTGTGTATAGATGTAAGGATGTTGAGAAGCATTCTATCTGGAGTGGAGGAGGAGACATGCTTAAGTGATCACAGAAGCAGGGAGCTGGCTCGGATAGTCTGGTGAGCATAATTTTTTTTTCTCAATGCCTAGACAAAAACAAGCACTTAACCCTTGCAGTGCGGAGGTAGCCCACTGCAAGGGTTAATAACATTTTTAACTGGAGTTCATCTTTAAATGAAATGGCTGCATATGTTCTCTTATGTTCAGACCCTTTCCCTTTATTTTCACTTGTTGATCCTGCCAGTAAAACACCTACTGCCTCAGGGTGACAATGCTTATTCACCATCACTGTACATTGCTTGCTCCTTCCCCTCACCTCACCTCCATAACACAGGAAGGAAGTGTTCTGTAGTTTACAGAGGAGAACTGGTCAGGGCTGGGCTTGAGATTTCAGTGCAGCATTGTCAGCTCATTACAGGCAGTTGGAAGTTCACTGGATTTATGGTAGGATCAGCAAGTTTTAATGTAAATTTTTTTTATATGCGCTTATTTGGCAAATATTACAAAATGTTTTCAGTTAAATATTCAACAGACAAAAAGGGAGCAAATAAGAGAGGGTTGTCACACAGGATGGATTTTGTCTGCCTTTGTTCATCTCCATTACATGGGAGTTTATGGTATTAGGAGTTTACACAAGAAATATAAACTTGTTTGGTCCCAGTTTATATCCCACAGGAAGTGAAAAGGACATCGCATTTCTGGCAAGATCATCAGTTATTTTTTTGTACTTGATGAAAACTAATGCAATGCAGCCACTGGAAAGATGCAGCTTTAATTTTTGTTTCTCTGTTTAGTTATCCTTTAAAGCAGACCTTTAGGGCTAGTTCACACCACGCGCGGAGCAGATCCAGAGCAGAGCAGGTGCAGACCGGATCAAAACTGTGTCCAATGTATTCCTATGGTATTTTGAGCTCCAGTTCACATCACAGCATGCAGATACAGAGCAGATCCAGAGCAGGTAAAAAAAACTGCAGCAGGCCCTATTTTACCTGCTCTGGATCTGCAAATGCATCAAAAACGCATGCAGATGTCTGGAACGCACTGAAAGCCCATGTTAAACTAAAAAAAATGTATTTATTTTTAGCCAAAAACGCATCTAAAAGACTAGCGTGTGTGTGCAGAAACCTGACCGGATCTGCTCTGCATTTGGTGTGAACAAGGCTTACACTCAAAAATCAAATTCTAGCAATGCATCCCTCTATGTATGATGATTAATAATAACATGTCAGGTGTAAAATGCTGCGATTGTGAAATACTTACACTTGCAGAGCATTCACTTCCAGCTTTGAAAGGGAAAAATGACTTCAGTTTGACAAAATAATGCACACTGGGATTGCCTTGTCATCAGCAGAGCATTGCTGGGAAATCTCATCTCACATCTCAGGGAAAGGCATTTTCCTTCCCTGAGATGATGTGCATGGTCACATGTCCTAGTCACATGTGCCAATTTTCAGGAAGTAAAGGGAGATCTAGTAATCTGCCCTTAGTAAACATGGCCACTGTCAGAAGACTCGGGGAGGAAAAGAGAAATAAAGTATGCAAAGGATACAAAGCCGGCAATTATCTTGAAGTATGTGTAGGTTGTCATTACTAAACATTTCTATAGGTGTGTTTGTTGTTATTTTAAAGATATAGGTAAAGGTCCGCTTTAGAAAATCTCTTGGCAGGTCCATATATGTTTATTTCACCTGCATCTTTAGCTGTTTGGCAGGAGCTTTGCTTAGAAGTTATTCTTGGATCAATCGCTGCAGGTTACTACCGCCATTTTCACAATATAAACCAGAACAATTCTCTAATTTACCAATTCAAATTGTTTTCCCCTCATTGTATCCCTCAGCCAATAGAAATCATCTATAAGCCACATTTAACTTGTACAGCTGTGTACTTCATAGGTTTCTGGACCTGGTGAAGTTCAGAAGCTTGGTATCTTGTATGAATGATTCTTTCTGTTTTAATATGTATGTACGTTTATCGGTGGGCAAAACCCGGTGTTATTACATAATGTACAGATATTTTAAAAGATTTATTTGTGGGCTATTTTGGAAAGCAGTTGGTTTCTCTTTTACCAGAAAGATTTGGCATTTACTATAACACTGAAATGCACAATATGTTTAAAGGGTGGTTCTCCATGTTTTTCTATCCTATGCAGAGTGTGAGAGCAATAACTGTAACAAACTTTAAGATAACACTAAAACCTTCACCGAAAGCTTAAATTAGGTTCTCATGTATACAGGTCATGGTAAATCTGTTACTAGTTAGTCACATTCAACTGGACTTGTTCTGTAATGTTAAAACTAAGGATGCACCGATACCAATACTAGTATTGGTATCGGTGCTGATACTGAGTATTTGGGCGAGTACTCGTCCAAATGCTCTCGATGCTTATCCCGATAGCGGAACTTCCGGTATCAGGTAGCCAAGCGCTGAATCATTACACGCTGCCCAGCTTCCTGATTGGACCGGGAAGCCAGCTCTATGCGCCCTCATCACCAGGGAGAATGGAGCTTACCAGTATATGGTAAACGGGTTACATTTATAGAGTAGAAAGCTAAACTAAATCTGCTGTTTGAAGTTTTTTAAGCTTTATGTATGTTATCTGGAAGTAAGGAAAGGGACTCAAAAGAGTAGGTAAAACATGTTTTCAAGTGTACAAATACATATTCACCTAGTGCACCCAGTATTCACCTATAAAATAAATGTTCCATTTGCTATTGAACCTACCCTAGAGAGACTCTTAATTGTGGGGTTTGGATGACATGCTAAATATTACATACAGTTGAAAGGAACGGCACTGCAAGTGCTTCCCGTTCAATAAAGACCTATCCTTATTTGCAAATAGTCACCGATTTGCAAATAGTACCCTTCCAAGGTTCAGTTACTGCTGCAACTCATAAAAATAAAGAATAAAGCCTCTGCATTTCAGCCTTTATATATGTAAATGTACAAGGGCTGTTTGAATTCTTTAACTAAACTTTCATTTTCTCATTTAAAGAGGACCTAAAGTCTGAGAACATGTCTACATTTTGCTCCTCCCACTGCTCTAATACTTAAACTGCAATTAAATTGGTTTTCATCCTCCCCAAACACCCGTACCTGGCTCAGTCCACCTACAGCTCTTGGCCCCTTCTTGTTTACCTGAGCATATGAGCACTGTCAGCATACAGTTGGTAGCTCTGGCTGAAGATGCTTTTGGATGGAGATGGTGCTTGCGTGACCCCACAGCGGTGGCTAGAGTCTAGACCTACAGCCAAGTCTGGAGAGGTGTTGGGTAGGTATAAGATAATATTTTTTTTGCTGGTAAAGTGTTAGGGCAGCAGTTGCCGTTAGAATATAGGCCTGCTGTAAAAATGTAAAATTATTTTATAATAGAATATGGTTATTAGTCTCTGTTTAACACCTTAATGCCTGCCAGTAATGCTTTACTGCCTAATATACTGGACCTTCCTTACCTAGATCTGTTTTTGCTGTGGCGGTGACACAACTAA